TTCCACCCGTTGACCGCCTCCGCCATCGGAGGCCGCGCCGCGCCACCCCCAGCCCCTTCCCCCTATAGATACCGCCCCGCCTGATCGCTCCGGCCAAATGGCGGTCGGCGGCGACGACGACATGGAGAGGGACTTCGCCGCCAGGCTGCGCCTCGCGCCCTCCAACCCCTCCTCAGCCTCCGCTTCCGCCTCAGCCTCCCCCACGGCGGCCTCCCCTACTGCGGGCGGGGGCGGGATCGCCTTCCGCGCGCCGCAGGAGCAGTTCACCGCCGCCGACTTCGAGCTCGGCAAGATCTACGGCGTCGGCTCCTACTCCAAGGTAGTTAGTGGTGGCACACCATCGTGTTGGCGTCGTCGTTGTTTAATTAACCAGTGGACGGACGGTTCCCTCCTTGTTTTTACCCCATGGCTTGGTGGCCGCGTGGGGGACGGGATCGTGGGAATTGCCGTTGCTGAGGCCGCTTTGTTTTTGCGTCAGGTGGTCAGGGCCAGGAAGAAGGACACGGGCAACGTCTACGCGCTCAAGATCATGGACAAGAAGTTCATCACCAAGGAGAACAAGATCTCCTACGTCAAGATGGAGCGCATCGTGCTCGACCAGCTCGATCACCCGGGCGTCATCAGGCTCTTCTTCACCTTCCAGGACACATACTCCCTCTGTCAGCACTGCCTCTCTTTCTTTCTTTGAATTACAGTAGTTAATTAGCAACTGGGCACTTTTATTTTACTGAAGTCCTAGTTGCATTTTGGATGCTTACATTGGCTGAACACGGCATTTCTTTGGCTGTCCAGACATGGCACTGGAGTCGTGCGAAGGCGGGGAGTTGTTCGACCAAATCGTACGGGTTAGTATCATCAACCTGCTCACAATGTGGCTAGTTCCTCTTCTATACTTGCTTCTTATTCTTGGGTTTTGCTTGCAGAAAGGCCGCCTGTCTGAGGACGAGGCACGGTTTTATGCCGCTGAAATTGTTGACATTCTGGAGTATTTGCATAGTGTAGGCCTAATTCATCGGGATGTGAAGGTTTGTTCATTGTACATGAGATTCATGTTTGTCTTTGAGTTAATGCCATCAGCAACAATGACTTACTCACATTGTTTGATCTCCCAGCCAGAAAATTTACTCCTTACTTCTGATGGACACATCAAGATTGCTGATTTTGGTAGCGTGAAGCCTACTGTGGACACTCCAATCAAAGTCCTCCCAAATTCAACTAGTAAGATAAACATACGCAGAGCTGGATTCTCTTAGTGTTTGGTGATGTAAAGCTCTTAATGTTCTGCTTTCCTTACACTTACCGTGCAGATGAGAGGGCCTGCACATTTGTTGGAACAGCTGCATATGTACCACCAGAGGTCCTGAACTCTGCCCCAGCAACTTTTGGGTAAGTGAATAACTTCATCTGTCGATGCCCTTGACAATCCTTGCTTTCTTGGTACAATTCTACTTTTGTGATATTTACAGTACTGCATTCTTTGATGTGATTTTATGTTTTGACTCTGAGTGATGTATTCAATCGCATTATTAAGCACCAGCACTGTGCATTTATTGGCTACGTCCGAAAGCTTATCTTGCTAGAAAACATATCTTGTAGACGACTTCCCTAGCTATCAGTGTTGTCATGCTTCTGGACTTTAGGTTACTAGCAGAAGTTGAAAAATTCATGTTATAACATCAAAGACTTCAAGATGATGGTACACAAAATAACAGTCGGTACAAATTGTGCTAGCTGAAATGCATTTCTGGTATCTGTCTGTCCCATCAGCATAGTATTGTGTACTATGTCTTGTCAGTTCAACATTTGTATCAGAAAGTCACCTTTTCTGAGTATGCATAAGATGATAAGTGTTGTATTCTATTTTTGAAGACATTAGATTCTTCTTTTCTTAACTGAAGACATTAGATTCTTGATGCATTCTTTAGCTGTTACGAAAGAATAACTTAAGTTCATTGCATCAAAGAAAAACCACCTTCCATGATGTATCTCTAACCCTAGTTTGCTGCCAGTTGCGAAGATGTTAAGCTTCTAAAGAACTGTGTTTTTTTTTGTGGTGTTGCAAGCAGTGATTTATACACGTTTTTCTGATGGGTTTCTATGTTTTCTTGGCAGAAATGACTTGTGGGCATTGGGGTGCACGTTGTTTCAAATGCTTTCTGGCTCTTCGCCATTTAAGGATGCCAGTGAGTGGTTGATTTTCCAGCGAATTATTGCAAGGGATCTCAGATTTCCTGAGTTCTTTTCGGATGAAGCAAGAGATCTCATTGACAAGTTGCTGGTATACAATTATACAGATTACTTCTTGCATTTTTTTTTGGTCATAAGTTATATATGGTTCTTAAAAAAATGCTACCAGCATAAAAACAACTCTTGTCCTAGTTCTGATCATTTCATGGTTTATCAGATACAGTAATATTCTAAATACATAATGAAATTGCATAGTCCCCACTCCAGCCAAAAGAGAAGCTGCATCCTTAGATCTCTGAGTCAAATTTCCAACGAGTAGGGCCTGCTTAAACTCTTCGTTCTGCAGGATGTTGATCCAACCAAACGACCAGGTGCAGGACCTGATGGTTATGCTTCCTTGAAGAAGCATCCTTTCTTCAGAGGTATTGACTGGAAAAATATAAGGAAGACGCGTGCACCAAAGCCCGCTGTGGAGGCAAATGTATGCTATCTTACATATGTCAGTGTAATCACTTAACTCTACTCTTTATCATTCTGATGATCTCCCTATTCAGGCAAATGAGGATGAGGATAATCAAGATTCAGATTGGTTGTCACACATGGGAAGTGCACATGCCAACCAAAATGTCCCTGTTGGGAATAATGGTGCTGCGTCATCTTCTGAAGTACGGTCCCATGTATCTAAATTAGCTTCCATCGACTCCTTCGACTCTAGATGGTAAATACAGACTATCACAACATTTTATTATACTTACAGGAGAGAAAAGAAAAATGAAAACGGGGGGAAACGGTCGACTACATGCTCACAATTTTTCCACAAGTGAGAGGTGATTCATGTCAGTGCATATTGCTTTAACAATGTGGCAGGCAGGATTTCCTGGAGCCAGGTGAATCTGTAGTGTTGATATCTAAGCTGAAGAAGATTAATAAGCTATCAAATAAGAAGGTCCAGCTGATCCTCACCAACAAACCTCAGTTGATCTGTGTTGACCCTGCGAAGATGGTGACCAAGGGGAATATTAGTTGGTCTGATGATCCAAGTGAACTCAATGTACAAGTAGCCAACTCCTCGCATTTTAGGATCTCCACGGTATTCCTCTTTGCTGCTACTGCTCCTTAGTATTACCCTAGTAGCTGTTCTATTTTATTACGCCTAACTGAGTTCTCTTACAGCCAAAAAAGGTGTTCGTATTTGAGGATGCAAAACAGCGTGCCTGGCAATGGAAGAATGCAATTGAAGACCTCCAGCACTGCCAAAAGAACTGATTTTCAATTGAAATCAAGATACCAAAACGGGTGATGTTAAGCACTCTGAGCACACCTTAGTCATGTTTTTCACTTGGAGGAACACATGGGGGTTTCTCGCTCCTGCTCTCCTCACGTGCCTGGGAAGGAAATCACTTGTGGCATGTTGATCGATGTCCCCCGCCTACGTCCCTAAACAGTTTTGTTTGTTTGTTAGTTGCTGCAGCAGATAGCATCAGAGTGATTGAAATGTTGGCCCTCCGGAACAGTTAACAAAAGAAATCCATGAGATGATCGATTTGTATTGTTGTATTTGTATCATCGAATCACCTTAACAATGTTGCCATAGCTTAATTATATTCTCTTGCGTCCTCTGTTTTAGTGCTTAAACACCGTGAAATGGTTTTTGTGCCGTTGTTATGCTTTGCGGAGGTTGTGAGTACTGAGTAGTGTGTCCATATCTCGTGCTGTACACTTGTACTACTACATTATGTGTTTGGCCATTTCCATGATGCAGAGCTGATCTGCTACCATCATCTGGGTAACAATGGAGATCGAAAACAGGCAATTTAACATTCCTCCTCCATATATATGCCAACAAATCATTTCTGCTAATTTTCAGTAGTACTAGCAAACTTCCTTTGATACTTGTCATGATTGTTACACTGAACATTCTCTACATCATTGTACCAAAACTGAATAATCTTTTTTCTTTTCGACATAAGCCTTTGCAAAGTGCAGGTAAGCAGAGAAGGCCAAGGCACCGAGGGCAGCCAGAAACCAGAAGAAGTAATCAAGATGGCCCCTGTTGAGGTTGTTGGAGAACCAGCTCCCCCCATTGCTGCTGGTCACCCTGTCAATGGCGTACACAAGGAAGCTACTGATGCACAGAGCTACGCCCAGGCTCCGGAGGGAGTCCGGCACCTGGTCGTAGAAGAACTCCAGCAGGCCAACATACGCAAACACGCTGGTCAAGCCTGCCAGGAGGAACTGGGGAACCACCCACAGCAAGCTCATAGGAACAACGGCATCAGGCTCATCCAGGATGCCATGATCTGCTGCTATCCCGAGCCTCTTCATCTCCACCAGCGCGGCGACGATCATCGGACGATCGAAATCGCCAGCCCGGCGCCGATCCTCTGCAGCATTGTGATGCCATGAGGGTTCCCCGTGTGCTTTCTAGCCAGCGGGACGAGGATCCGGTCGTAGATCGGCAGGAAGATCATGACCGCGACATGGCTCAGGTTCTGCATGGCGGCGGCTGGCACCACCAGGCTGCCTACTCTCCTGTCGAGCGTGCTCGCCTGCTTGGTGAAGAAAGTAGGCCACTGTGCGTAGACGACGGCGTAGATCAGGCATGCCGACCATATCGGGAACAATCTGAGCAGCGATGCCGCTTCATGAGGGGAACCTGCATTGCCGGTGCTCCCCTTGGGTGGCAATGACGAGCTATCGAGCAATGGCCGTGAGTCGTCGGATAATCTGCGTGCCAATGGACCAAGTGATCGAGCAAGGTTCAGTTTCAGAAGAATGGACTGAATCGAAGCTGAGAAATCAAGAGTTTGATTACTTGGAGGAGCGCCATGATGAATGCCAGGATCGAACCGTGGCGACAAGCGGTTCGCCGAGCCGCGCAAGCAGGCCGCCATTCCTCGCCGGAGGGTAGAAGCTGTAGGTCTTGGTTCCGAGCAAGAAGACAGCGAGGGCGAGCGCCATGGCGACGCCCGGGATCCCGAACCCGAGCTGCCAGCTAACGCTGTCCTGGACGTAGTTCAGGGCCGGGACGGTGACGGTGACGCTGCCGTCCGTGACGAAGAAGAACCAGTTGAAGAAGGAGCCCCTGGCGGCGAGCTCCTCGGGGTCGTTCTCGTCGAACTGCTCGGCGCTGAACGCCTGCACGCACGGCTTCTGCCCGCCGTAGGCGAAGGCGACGAGGTAGAGCGAGACGTAGAAGAAGGCCACCTGGGCCGCGGACGGGCTCGCCGTCGCCGAGGATGCCACGTGTGGCGTGCCCTCGCCGCCGTGCACCGACGACGAGATGGTCAGCATGGCTAGCCCCTGGAAAGCACACAGTTCAAGGGAGAAGTCCAACTGGTTTCTTGGGAATACGGGGTTTTGTTCCTCTGCGAAATTCGCCTACCAGGATGTAGAGGAGGGAGGCGTAGAGGATGGTGCGGTACCGGCCGATGCAGGAGTCGGCCAGGGCGGCGCCGAGCAGCGGCAGCATCATGGCCACGCCTGACCACGCGTTGACGGCCGCGGCGGCGGCCGCCGTCGGCTGCCCGAGCGGGCCGGTCAGGTAGGTGATGAGGTTCCCGGAGATGCCGGCGAAGGCGAACCGCTCCGCGACCTCCACCCCTGCGTTGCCGCGAATTCAGTTTCGACCGTCACCAGCTCACCAGCTCCTGCACGTTTGCGATTTGCCTCGTGTCGTATCGTACGTACCGATGACGAAGAGCGCGGCTGGCCACCGGCCGGAAGAGCACCGCGAGACCGGGCGGCCGCGGTGGTCAACGGCGGCCACCGGCTCCGCTCCCGCCGATGCCATCACGTCTTCTTCTCCGCTGCCGATGCTCGTCCTCCTCCGTTTGGAGCCCGACGCCGAGGCCAAGGGCAACTAAACTAGAGTACCGATAACAGTAGTAAAAGGTCAATGCAGCAGGAGCTGAGATGCTCTCCAATGCTGCCATGGCCTGAAGCGCCATGTGCAACTCGGCATCTACATGTGGTGGAGCTGGTCGTCGTCAGGTCTTAGTTTTCGCCACCATTTTCTGTTTATCTATTAGCATGTTGGGCGAGAAACAAAATCGTGGTTGCGGTGACGGGGGTTGTAAACTACGACTTGCTTCTCAGTTTCGATGCGAGCGAGTCTTGTCATTTGGTTTTCCATTTCGTGGAGACAACGACTTTGCACCGACAGAACTCCATCGAGATTCCTATTCTGAAGTGTCAAGCAAAACTCTGAAAATTTCCCACATGTACGTATACATGGAGTAGACCGCATGTCTGTCAACCTTCATTAGAAAATGCCTTACCATGTGAGCTGCACACAAAAATACAAACTTGTGAAATGAGTAAATTCAAATCGACGTATTGGCTTATTTCTAGTTGCCTAGATCATATCTATACATGTACATGTCAAATATTTGCCATAATCTTTTGACACTTTAAAACATTTCCTTTTCCGCAAAAAAAAAGTATTCATGTGCTATGCTAAGTTTAGAACTCTGGATACAACAGGCATTCTAGGGATCTGGAAGAGTAAAATGCATTGATGATCACTGTACTTGTGTCGATAGCTTACTTTACTCGTTGTCCTTAAGAATACGGTCACTATATACGAGTACTGGTGATTATACGATCACTGTCTTACCGTGCTCGGTATTGTCTACTCTGACCGGCCAAACTGCCTACGTGGTCAGCTCGGCTTTGTTGGAAGCTTGGAGTAAACCCTATCTGGGGTTATCGGATCCGTTCATTGGAGAGACCATGGCTTTGCGTGATGGAGTTATCTTTGCTAACCTGCGCGGTTTCTCACATGTGATTATGAAAACAGACTGCCTGAAGATAGTTAATCTCTGGAACACTCGTCATAACAGTCTTTTTGTTGTGGCTTCTTTACTTTTAGAAATTGGAGAGCTAGCTTTCTCTTTTTCTTCTTTCGTTGTTCAACGTGTAAACAGATCAGCCAATGTACCTGCCCACCTTTGTGCTAAACATGCAAGCACACCGGTGGTCACCGACAGTTGGACTGGTTCGAGACCATCCTTCCTACTCACCAGCCTTTTGGCGGATGATGCTAGGAGTACCTTTGTTGAATAAAGCTTTCGGATTAGATTGCAAAAAAAAAATGCAACCAAGTCATCTCACTTCTCTCTACGTATGCGGGCTCTACCAGTCAATGAGTGGAAATGAGAAATTAATAGGCAAAATAAATTGTGCGAGAACTCATTACCTGATTCGTGCTACTAACAAAGAGACGTGTGAGATGTGTTGTGTACGAGCTCCAATTTCTCGTTGTCGGCAACCACGGCAACACACAACCTCATGTTTTTGTAGGGGTACACAACAATAATGCTAAACATACAAAAAATTACACGCAATTACACACTGATTAAGATTTTTTTTATCTACTAACCAATCACAAACTTGCCCTCTCCCTGATTTTCAGGGAGGGTGGGCCGCCTCCCCACCTATTGACCAATCAAATTAATTTTCTTTGTAAAACCTTGTAACTCGTTTGTATGTGTAGCATTACTCGAGTACACACGGACTCACGTGCTGCTGACGCTCGACCATGGGGCCCAGGTGCGGAGCCAAGGGGGCGAGCGCCCCCCCACCCACCCCCACCCCCCCACCCCCCCGAGACACTAAGTCCAGTTAGCGGGCGGCCCATTTGTTTTTCTGTTCATTTTTTCGCGTTTCCAACTGGGATTTCAATGTTTTCTGTTTTTTATTTTCTTCATTCTTTCTTTTTTCAAATTGCACGGATTTTTTTTAAATTGATGATTTTTTTCAGTCTTTGTGAAAGTTTTTGGAATCAACGAACTTTTTTTAAAAAATTGGTGCACTTTTTCCAATATGATGATCTGTTTTCATTTTTTGACTTTTTTTCCAAAATTGATGATTCTTTTTCAAATTCAATGATTTTTTCCCCAACTTAATGAACTTTCTCTTCAACATAGATGAACTTTTCTCAAATTCTCTGTGTTTTTTCAAACTCATTTTTTTTTTCAATTCATAAAAAAAACAAAATCCGTGAACATTTTTTAAGAAGACTCCTGCAATGGATTCCCCCTCCGACAGAGCTCCATAACGGGCCTCCAGATTGGATCTTCGCGAAATAAAGACTAGCGACGGCGATAAAATTCTTCCTGAGGTATGACGAATGGTTTCGGGATTTACATGATTTAGTGGCGGTGGAATTGGACTAAGGTGGTTCAGGGGGCCCCCGCAGACCGCATAACTGGGTTTAATAGTAGAGAGATTGGACTTTGTTTATCCTATTGGTGAAGCATAACTGCATAACTAGGTTTGCATGAAAAAAATTATCAGGCACGCTTTCGACACTAACATGAACATGTGCACAAGAAATCAGAATTTTCAAAAATTATCTGAACTTCGTACTGGTACATTATGTTCACATATTTTCCACATATTTACATCAAGTCAGCGTGGCCATTTCTTTTGAAAACCATTGTAAATGCGGGGCTGTTCTATGGTCACGCCATCCTCGTCCGTGTAGCTTTGAATCTGGAAGCGACGCGAATATCATTTTGCTAATTTCCCGTGGCAAGCTTCCTTCCCTACCTGCCATGATTGTCCATGAAAATTGCGCTGAAGGCTCTGTAGATACCATCGCATCACTGTACTGAAGCTGAACTGTTCCTTTTCTTGCCGACATAAACCCTTGCAAAGTGCAGGTAAGCAGAGAAGCCCAAGGCACTGAGCGCGGCCAGGAGCCAGAAGAAGTAGTCGAGGTGCCCCCTGTTGAGGTTGTTTGAGAACCAGCTCCCCCCATTGCTGCTGGTCACCCTGTCAATGGCGTACACGAGGAAGCTGCTGATGAAGCAGCCAGCCCCGGCGATGCTCATGCACAGAGCGATGCCCAGGCTGCGGAGGGAGTCCGGCACCTGGTCGTAGAAGAACTCCTGCAGGCCGACGAACGCGAACACGCCGGACAGCCCGGCCAGGAGGAACTGAGGAACCACCCACAGCAGGCTCATGGGGATGGGAACTTGAGGCTCGTCTAGCAGGCCGTGGTCGGCTGCGATCCTGAGCCTCTTGGTCTCCACCAGCGCGGCGACAATCATGGCGACGATCGAGATCGCCAGCCCGACGCCGATCCTCTGCAGGACGGTGATGCCACGAGGGTTCCCTGTGCGTTTTCTAGCGAGCGGGACGAGGATCCGGTCGTAGATCGGGAGGAAGATGAGCACTGCGGCGTGGCTCAGGTTTTGCATGGCGGCGGCCGGTACGAGCAAGCTGCCGATCCTCCTGTCCAGCGTGCTCGCCTGCTTGGTGAACAGCGTCGACCACTGCGACAGGACGACGGCGTAGATCAGGCAGGTCGACCATATCGGGAACAGCTTGAGCAGCGACGT